TCTTAATGTAATGATGTATTCATGGACGCGAAATCACACATGAGCTGACACATTGTTTATTCACTACCGAGAGGATGCTTAAGTGCCCGCCAATGATGTCTACTTTAGTGAACAGGACCTGCATATTAGGTTGTGAATACCAGGTAATAAAGTTCTGAATAACATTCAGTTTGTTGCAAACTGAACTCAAAGTGACAGCATGACATGAGCGCACTCAGCAGTGAAAAGTAAAACCAAAAGAGCGCACATAATTTAAATGATCATATCGCATTTTAGAGTTATGATTACGACAAGCATTTTATATGTTTTTTCTTTCATGGCAAACAGAAAGTGAATGTTTACTGGGTCAGTAAATGTTTACTGGGTCAATGTAACTACTCTAGCCTATATAATGCAAAAGGGAATCTGATAATAACAAATGTTTAATTTCACCGGTGAAAAAATGGTCTAATAATGTTGTAAATGACAGATTACAATGTCTCAAATATTCAATTTCTAAATGATAAGTAGTTGTATTCCGATATAATGATTACTGTGAATTAACAACCAGGACATATTTAAAGTCTGTTCAAGTCCACCCTTCCAAGTCTATACAAAATTTAGCAATTTAACCAACAGTAGACCTACACATAGGCCTTATATTATTATCATTGTTGTTTTACCATATCTTCACCTTGGAATTATAAGGTTCTATCTGTGTTCTGAATGATTTTAGAGATATCGAGCTTCAAAGTCTTTGCATTCCATAGCAAACAGTATGTGTGTAACATTTGTTAGTTTAAAAAAAAGTCTTAAAATGTAAGCAACTTATTAAAAACATAATGTAAATAAGTTGTCATTTAATAAGAACATGTCATTTATTAAGAAAATGTCAATAACTGTATTTTGACAAACATGTCAGATAGAACCTTATAATTCTAAGGTGACGATATGTTTGAGAAATAACAATAATAATAGCCTACTCATATTAACCTTTATTTTACATCTACAGAATCATGAGAAAATTATGATCTAGATTTTAAGAAAAAAAATTGTGATTCTCATTTGAGCCAGAATCGTGCAGCCCTAATACCAAGTAGTATTGCGATACTTGAATATTGCGATAACTTGAATTGAATTCAAAATTCCCTTATTATTGAAAAAAAAAAATACTTGCACATCACTTTACCTAAAATGCAGTAGTTCTTTTTGTTTATTTTGTAGATATCTAACCAACAAAAATTCATAAAAAAAAGGTACAGAATGAAATTCGTTACAAAAAGAGCTTTTTTTTCTATTGTTTTTTTTAGCCTTATCAGGTAAGAATCCAAAGTAATTCAGAATTTCACTTTGTGAGTGGTTCTTTTAAGAGATTGTTGCGGTTGTTGTAGCTAATAAATCATATTGACAGGAACAGAAATTAACTTATTCAGATGTGCGTTTGAACCGAAGCATCAGAAAACATGCAACAGGCTAAAGGTGTGAATTCTACACAGTTTTGCAACCTCAAAGGGCTCCACAGACTATTAAAATAAAATAGTGTATTGTTGCACAAAAGTGTGAGCATTTTAGTGACTTTTCCACATGCAACATTAGGTATCATAGATAGACCTTAATGACGATACTATCATTCACAATCTACAGTAGCAAAGCTAATATTTTGGAGCCGTAGTATAGCGAGACTACCATAGGACCGGAAAACTGTGCTACCCGATAAGCTTGCATACATTTTTGGTCACATCCATAACTCATCTTTATATAATATTCCTTATTTAAAATCTAAAAAATGTTTACAGATTGATATTTTCTGATCCCATAACACTGTGGTTTGTTGTTTTGGAAGACATAAAAAGATGTTTTAATATGATGTTAACATACTTTCTCTGTGTATTTATGTATTAAGTGTTTACTGCAATTGTCACATCCATACTGCTGGAATTGCTCAAATATTAAACTTGAGCACATATCTCATCCATTGTCATCTGTGCTTTGGAATTGAATCATGTTGAGGTGTGGTGTGTTTTGGAGAAAGAACTATTGATAGAGGCACCTGAGAAATACTGGATTTAATTATTATTTGTTTTTACTTTGACCAATCATCTTATTAACCACCACCTGCAGTGTGTGAACAGCAATCTATTATCGCAATACAGCAGAAAGCAGGTCAGGTTCTTTATGTAAGGTTTTATTCATTTTTTGCACGTGGGAACTGATTTTTAATGATAAATTCTTAAAAATTCAAACAAATCTGCTGTGAGTTGTGAGGCTGGTAATTTCGATTGATGTCTAAGTGATTTCTGCCATAATTGATATTTAGACCTCTCATTTTGTTAAAAGTTGATACTTACTTTCGGATAATGTCACTTTTTTCGTGCATTTAATATGAGGGATGATTAGGCCTGTCACAATAAAAAAGTTTTGTGTGCGATGTATCACAACAGATTTTTTTGTGATAAGGGACTAGGGCTGCACATTAATGGAAATACTTGACATTGCATTACCTTTTGTTTTTCAGTGATATACTGTACATTGCGAAATGAAATATATTTCACCAGTTGGATGGAATAACTGTTTTTGAGAAGAATTCCCTTTTTCAGGATGTTTTGGGCGATTTGTATAGGGGAGTGCATCTGCTTCGTTTATTAAAATTAACTTTAAAATAGATTTTTAGGGAGGAAGGGGGCACACAAATAAGAGAAAAAAGAGCTTTATATTTGTCTGGTAAGTCTTAATGGCTGTTGGACACAAATATTTAAAAATCTAATAGAGCAATCCCATGCAAATGTCAAACTTGCCATGAAAAACTAAGCTTCAACCAAAACAGCGAAACCGTTTCTACATTTTTGGTTTAAGCAAGTATTTTACAGTACTTAAAAACTACTCAAAAATGTCTCCATCAATGTTTCATTTCATTCATTTTTTGATGGCAGTGCGCCACACCAAAATTCATCCCACCACGGCTACATTACAGCTTCTCATTCAAAACATTCAGCCATTGTTGTTGTTTTTTGATAGTGGGTTATAATCGCACCAAAACTCATTAAAAGCTAAGTGAATTATGCTGCTCTGTAGGTCTATAGTATGTCTTATAAATGTTGGAGAAATACTTGGTACATAAACGCACTAAATCGCGCTTCAGCAGCAGCTCTTGAGCAGCTTATATTTGGGGGGGGCATGCAAGATTTTTTGTGCACGAGAAGAGGAAATCGGCGCGCGCATTAGGATACTCGTATTAGATAAATGCGATCTCAACTTGTAATACTGTTCTCAAGACATTTCTCCATTTGTCATTGAAATAAAGCCATAGGTAGTTGGTAGATTTGTGTAAAAGGCCTGCAGTCAGAGCTGGAAAGAATCCTAGGAAACACTGGTAAACACTGGAGTTCTGCTCTCTTCATTAGTTTCAAAAACACAGATTTCTTTACAATTCAAAACGGCATCATTGGATATCTTTTCTGCTGAAGATACTGTTGTCCTAAAAAGCAAACAAAAAAATGTAAATAAAAAATCATACACATACCTTAGGAACGGTATTACAGAAAATTTAGGTGGTTTTAAAACCTTGGCTTTTCCAAACTGCGGTACACCTTGAAAATGGTTATCGTCAGGTAAACCTTTTGCCCTTTCCCCAGCTGTTTATCTTCTGAATTGTAAAACTGCTCTACAACTTAGTCATGGGCTGCGTCCGAAACCGCCTACTACTCAGTAGGTACTGTATTTGAATTTAAACGTAATACTTTGCCGTTAGAAAAGTACGTTTTATACAGTATGAATGTGAAAAGTATGAATGGAATTCAGACGTACTACATCCGCCATTTTGTCATGGTCACATGACCTACCTGCATCAGTTGCGTCGCTTCACTTCCATTCATGAATTCTCTCGCGGGGCATTATGGGATAGCACAGCGTGCATAGGATGAGCACTCCAGAATCTCGCCGGAAGTAGTAAGTCATCCGGGTACTTCTCGCATTCTGATTTCGAATTCTATGAATTCGGACATACTACTCGGCTTGCATACTGATTTTAGCCTACTATATAGTATGGAAGTATGCGGTTTCGGACGCAGCCCTGGACTATAATCTGTTACACTTTTGTACATATCTTGCAAGAAAATGTATTCTTTTGTTGTGGTCCTCTCCTAACATTCCCTCTGTCATTATGCGGATAAATCAGATTGCCATTTTCTTATCCTTGGAAAAACTGACTTATGACTTGCGTCAGAAATCTGATGATTTCTGGCGTATCTGGAATCCTCTATGGGAGTTTTTGAAGAATGTATCTTGAAAGACTATTTTTATTCAATTTTAATTTAAATTCATTTATTTTTTTGCTAATTTTACCCTTCACTAAAGACTTGAATTACCAGTCGATGGACGATTGTATAATAGATGGCTATATAATTGTATATGATGACATGAAACACCTATACCACTGTTCTGTCATTGTAAATCTTTAAATTAAAAAAAAGAAAAAAAAAGAAAAAAAATGGTTATCGTCTCATGGGTTTAGGGTTGTTGTGTGGGTAGACGTTAATAAAATACAATGAATGGCAAAAGTTATAAATAATATAAAAATTTTTTGTTAACTTTCATCTGCAACCATATGCGATCTAGCAACAACCGCATGCAGTCTCAGCTTGCAAGCCCTTGATTATCCCATACCTATATACTAAAAAAAACTTCTACAAGGTATCTCAAGATGCATTTATGTCATACTTTTGCACTAATTTATGTCAGCTCACACACCATTAAAACAAAACCGTGACATGTTATTATCATATAGTAACCCAAACCTCATCAGGCAACCAACCAGGAAAAACATGACAATAACTTTTAGAAATGCACCAATAACAACCACCTTCACATCGAAAAGTCTTTTTTAAGATAATTGAGAAGTTTATTAGAGATATTTGTATTGTAACGTCTATGAAATACAAATGTTTTGATTTATGTGATTTGAAAACATTAAGTGGGATTTTTAATGTCTGATGTTTTACTTTTTGTTCTTTTCCCATTTACAGATAAGCACACACCGCCCAGCTCATCAATAGAGGTGAGTCATTCTTTTCGCTTTGTTGAGGTGCCAGACTGGTTTTTGACTTTTGTGAAAAATGACTCATTCTGTTGCTATATTTGGCAATGGCAATCAGCTTGACAAGGCATCCTGAGGAAAAAACCCAGTTTTCTGCTGTTTGTTTGGCTTCTGAAGGTTTCGGCTGTGTGAATTAGGTGTGAGTGGTTTTTTGGGAGTCCCCGCATCTGTGGCAACCTCATTGTTTTGATGGTATTCATTAGCTGTTTCTTCTTTGTTGGCCTGACAGCAGTGTAGATCTCAAAGATTCAGTGTTTTTGGTCTCTAACGCTCCCTGCCACCCTGGGAAGTAGCCAAAGCTTTGCTGTAATCCATTCGGAAATAGTTTTCCCAAGCTTTTCACCACCAAGAGATCTCCTACCGTCTGACTTGGTCAGGACGAGACGCATTTACTGCCTATTCATTTTGTAAACAAAGAGAGTGCTGCACGTGTATATATATATATATATATATATATATATATATATATATATATATATATGATGCTAAAATGTTTTATCTGAAGTCTCTTGGCTGAATGTGATAGATTTTAAAATGCCCTCAGCGGTAACAGATGGGTCCACAGAGGGGATGCACACATGCAAGCTCTCGCCCCCACACACACACACACACACACACACACACACAAACAGAAAAACACATGCGGCTGTGCATGCTTGCATTCAAGCCTTCTCTGAAGCAGATTATCAAGCGAGCACTGGATGGTAGACTCGTGACTGTGAATGGGAGGATATTCAGAGAGCAGAACAGCAGGGCTCTGCCTCATCTGCACACAAACACTATCTTATTTCCGATAAGGGCGATGCATAGCACAGATAAGCCATTTTGTAAACATTTATGAGGAGAGTGACAGCTTTCAATTAATAAGAGATTATGTCTAAGTGATTTTGGCTATATTTGAAATTTACCCTCTCATTTTGTGTAAAGTTGCTACTTACTTTATGCATTAAGTTTTGTAAAATTGTTACACTTTTCCATGCATTTAACATGAGGGACGGTTATGCTTTTCACAATAAAAAAAGTTTTGTTGTGTGCGTGATGTATCCCCACAGATATTTTTGTGATAAGGGATGTTAATGTCATTTTTAGAGCATTTTATAGTTTCAATATTTTAGAAATTTTTGCAGACATTCACTTATAAATATATATATTTTTAAAAATACAAACATAAAACTTACATTTTAACAATTAGACAATTAAAAAAAAAAGAAAAAACAACAAACAGTCATAAAAATAATAATTAAAAAAATATTAAACAAACTTTCCTCAACCAACAACCCACCGTGAAATGGTAAAAGTAGGTACTAAAGGCATTGTATACATATTAAGCACAAGTTTGTTAAAAGGAAATAAAAGGGGAACTGATTTTTACAAAGTTTTGTCTATTAGGGTATGCCTGATTTTGTTCCAGATGTAATGTACCATTAACTCTATCTGCCACAAATTAAGAGTTGGGTCTTCTTTTTTTTTTCAAAACAAAAGGATACGTTTTTTGGCAGAGATCAACCCACATGAAACGAACTGTTGTTGTACCAATGCAAGTCTCAAAAATTCTTTGGAAACTCCAAATATGATTAATATAGGATCTGGTTCAAATAGAATGTCTTAATGTATCTGGAAAAACTTGGAATATTTTGTTCCAGAAACTCTGTAATTTGGGACACATAGGAATGGGACAGTTTGAAATCTAAAAAACTGACGTTTGTCACACAATGGTGACAATTCTGGAAATATTCAATTCAATTTCCACTGAATAATGAAGCCTATAAAGCACTTTTTAAACTGACTCTTTAAAAAAGACGATGCCTTGTGTTAATAGTACATCTGTGAATCTGTTCCAGACTTGACTTTAATCCAAAATTTCTCTTGGAATTTCTCTTTTTAGAGCATTTTATGCCACTGAATAATTATGATGCAACAGTAAAATGATAGTATAATAGACATAAACACTTTTAAGGAACGATAACATTTAAATTCTTAATGTTAATAAAATTCTGTTGTGTGGTGTTTAATAAGTATGTCCTAATATAAGCTTTGACATTGGTGATGTTGAGTCTAAATGTCCTTGTATTAGAGCTTTACCAGTATTTGTGAATATATTTTGTACTTTTATGGAGGTGAGCTGCAGCTTTAAAACAGAGCTCGTTTGGACGACGACTTTCAAACCGTCAGCAGTTTTCATAAAAATCTGAACATTTATCTTTTCTGTAGTAAAGAAGTTCCCTGAACCCGCCGGCTTCTTAAGCAGATTAGATGAGATGCACAATCAGCTAAAATATTTCTGGCCTTCATATATATTAACATGATGGCCAATACATATTTTGTCACCAAATATTATTCAGGTCATGGCATGTATTAAGCTACAGGTTTATTTATTTATTATTGTGACAGACCTTTTGTTTTACATTTTAAAGGATGTAAATGCACCATGAAAGTATCATAAATTGGTATTTACTGCATTACATGTTAGCAGAAGACAGCATTGTGTTAATAATCTTTTTACTACAATTAAAACTAAAATTGTTTATGTTCTGCAAAAAATAATGTAATTATATTTTGAAGCAGACATTATTGAGTACTACTTTTCCCCCCAGCAATATCCCTGATAAGATTCTGTTTGTAAATTCAAATATAATAAAATAAAATCATACAAGCAATACTGCTGTTTTCCTGAAAATCAGAGCGTGAGCAAATTTCATCACAAAAATATGATATTAATTGACATTTATTTGTACACCATAGTAAAAAACAACCAAAAACACCCATTTAAAATGGTTTCAAATTAGGCAGAACAGTATTTGTCTCTCAGATCAACTCTGATGAATCTCTTTCTGATCAAGTCATTTGAGTCAGTGATTCAGTTATTGATTCACAAATCTCATTCAGATCTATTTAAAAAAAAACCTGTTACTTCTGTTTTGTATATATTTTTGGTGCAACCATCGTGTAAGCAGGCCTCAAAGAACAGTACAAGTTCATGACCCTTTAAAGTTCCAAAACAGCCACGTTCACATTCTTACAAATATTTCCCTTTTTGTTTCAGAGAAATAATCATAAATTGTTATTTGGTGTCTTATATGTTGTTTCTCAGATCAATTCTGCAAGAGTTTACCTCTTGAATGGATCTCTTTTTTTGAACTGATCATTTGAGTCAGCGATTCAATGATCCATTTACAAATATCGTTTTGATACATTCGGATGATGGGATTTGTATATATTTTTGTTGTAAACATCTTGTGAGCAGGCCTTAGAGAACAGTTCATGATTCTAAGTTCCAAAAGAGCGATATTCACATTCCTCCAAAAATCTCCTTTTGTGTTTCAAAAAAAAAGAAAGAAAGTCATACAGGTTTGTAATGACATGACGAGTAAATGATGACACTGTTCCTTTGTACATAATGCTTTATGTGTACACTTTCATGTTAGATCAGTGCTTTGGGCGGAGGCGGCCTTCTCTATATAAAGAGTGTGTGTGTGTGTACTCTGCTACTGCACCTCTCTCTCTCTCTCTCTCTCTCTCTCTCTCTCTCTCTCTCTCTCTCAGTGATCATATGATGTTGCATGTTTAAGACCTCGCCCTCATGGCCAAGTTAAGCTGAAATATTGGTGAACTGCTGTTTGCTTGACTCGCCACATCCACAGCCCCATCTGGCTGTGTCTCAGACCAAGGCTACCCACCCAGCAGTCTGACCTAATAGCAGTTTTTCCATGCAGATGTCTTCTTAAAGATCTGGTTTCAAACAGGCCTCCTAAAGGGAGCATCATAATGTCTTGCCTAGTGATCGAGAACAAATACTTTAAGTTTTAGAACAAGCTTTAGAAAGCGAAAGCAAAAGTTGATTCTTGAACATTTTTTAGATTTAGAACCCGGGACAGACAGATTTTTTAAGCCCTAAAAAGGAGCACATCTGTAGGTCTGCAGAGCATGTGAGATTGTGGGAGTGTTGACAGGTCTCACGTACACAGAACGAAATGGTTAAACAAGAGAAGATTTTCCACTAATTTACCGATTGTGGATGTTTGGTTATACTGAGCAGATACAAAATTGTAGAAGGATGATCATAATAGTAAAAAAAAAAAAAAAAGTGTCACTAAATGTACTTGGGCGGCTGTTAATATACCTGGGTGGCCCGCTCAAGTATAAAGTTTATATGTGAGAAGCACTGCATTATTAAATTTTTTTAAAGTATTTTGTTTTTTTGTAAAATGTAAACTTTATTTTAGCTTTATTTATATATTTTTAAAATTGATTTCAGTTTTGCTAATAGTAACATTGGCCTAAGGTCACTGGCCCAACGAAGATCAAATCTTTTCCACTGCCTTAAAGGGCCATGACACCCCCCACTTTTGGTTTAAGTCTACTTCAGAATTTTTTCAAAAGATGCATGATTAATGGGCGTGGAGCTCCACGAGCATAGGGCAGGAGTGGGCGGGGCCAGCAGGGGAGAAGGAGGGGAGCGAACAACTGTTGATGTCAGTTAGCTCACAAATTGAGACAAACCGTGAGGAGACGCATGAGTTTATAGTTTACAAAGTTAAAATGCAAAGAAATAAACAGTAATTTAGTGCCCTGCTACATTTGTTATTCGTAATTTCATATACAGACGACCACAAATTATATCATTATAAAGATAAGTGTGTTCATGTAAACACTATAAATGAGGACTTCTCCCTCAATCCCTGGGTCTGAATCATAGATCTAAATGCAGACTCAGTGCAGCAGGTCTCCTGACCTGTCTATTTTAACCATTAGTCCTGCTGGTAATCTGGAGGATTTAGGCAAACACAGCAGCACGGCGATGTGTCTGAATATGAATGAACTCCTGATACAAGACAACATCCGCCATTCTCCAATTCTCGTGCTGCTCTCCCGACAAAAATGCTTGCATCACACACACAGCTTTGCTGTATGATCAGCCCTGACAGGATCGCGGGGAAAAACATGCAACAAACCCCGTGGAT